AGAGTCTGACCTGTTGTGCAGCAGAACAGCACTTACAGAGGCATTTATTAATGCATTGTGTGTTTGTAGTTGACATTTGTGCCGAGTTAAAAAAAAAACATCATCAAAACATAATTTGTTATATGGCCTCTTCTGCTTTCCAAGGCAGCATTCATTTGATCAAAAATACAATATGTTCTTGGAATATGTTTCTATGCTATTTCAAGTTAAAATGTAATTGCTGTAAAAAAAAAAGCTAGATTTTTCGGCATCATTGCTTCAGTCTTTTAAGTCATACGATTCTTCCTTGACCATTTTAATATGGTGATTAGATGTGTAATAAACATGTCTTTTATTGTTACAAAATATTTTATTTCAAATAAATGTCTTAATTTTGAACTATATTTAAAGTATCATGGAAAACGTTTTGCCATATTATGCAAAACAAATTATTTTCATCAGAGCACTTAAAGCAACAAATCAGCATACTCGACTGATTTATGAAGGATTACGAGACACTAGTTTGGCATGAAACTTTTGTTCACAGGAATAAATAATATAAAAATTAATTTTAAATTGTTCAAATAAGCAAATTGTTCTAAAATGTAAAATTTCGCACATCATCACCTTTTTGGTCAAATAAATGTATTATTGGTGCAGGCCCGGCTCCAGCTTGGAACTTTAGGGTGGGCCAAGTGACATTTCAGGTGGGCCCAAAAAAAAAAAAAAAAAAATAAAATAAAAAATTATATATATATATATATATATATATATATATATTAGAGCTGGGCGATATGACAAAAAATTATCAATATTAAAATTATAATATTATTATAATTTTTTTCATATCAGTCGATATCGATATTTATCACGATAAACGTAAAATCATTATATCTATCAATTTTATAAGATTTTCAGTATGCCAATCGCTTTGTGCAGCTGATTTAACACATTTAGTTAAATGTTTTAGCTGTCTGACAATATAAATAATAAACAAAAGAACAGTCTAAATTCAGCATTTACTGTTCAAGTTTTCAACAACCAAAGACATTACAAGTTTTTGGATATTATTGTTCAACATCAGAAAAAAAAATTATAAACCCAGTTTGGAACAAGTAAAGGTGAGTTAAAAGTAGAGCTGAGCGATATGGCAAAAAAAAATTAACACGATAATTTTTTTTCATATTAGTCGATATCGATATTTATCACGATAAATGTAAAATCTTTATATCTATCAATTATACAAGATTTTCAGCATGCCAATCGCTTTGTGCAGCTGATTTAACACATTTTGTGAAATGCTTTAGCTGTCTGACAATAAAAATAATAAAATAATAAACAAAAGAACAATTAAATTCAGCATTTACTTATTCAAGTTTTCAACAACCAAAGACATTAGCTACAAGTTATTGGATATTATTGTTCAACATCAAAAAAAAAAAAAAAACTTAACCCGATTTGGAACAACGAGAGTTGATAGTTACAGAATTTTCAGTTTTCGATGAACTCTCCTTTTAATGGTAAGTATGGTGAATTTAGGGTGAAATATACTTTAATGTATTTTTTTAGGAATGCTAATGATTACTTGATCTATTGTCGATAAGGCTTTAATTGATAGACCTTATCGATGACTGATTTAGCATAGAAATGTAAAGGTTTAGTTATGCTTTGCGCTGAGACGCATTACATAATCAAGTGTGTGCAGTTTACCTTACTTATGCTTTCACCTTCGACATCCCATATTGCTGGTCGCATAAAACCTTGTTATGCGAATATCTTCGATATATCTGCGCGTGTTTTAACCAAATTTGTCTGACAGACTAGCACGAATAGGTCTATGCAGACTCTCATTTTACAAATCGCGCATCACAACGAAAACATGCGGGGAGCCTCTCTATTTACACACTGAGCTTCTGAGCTCCATCCAAGTTTATTCTTCCGAGGTAACCCAAGAAATCTATCAGTGATGCGAAAAGACTGTCCAGTCCATGCTGCTCAGACCGCGCTTAGTTAATGAATTACAATGAAGCCGTGAAAATAGTTTGATGGATTGTTTTGGCGCTAAAGCATATAGCAAGTGCTTCTGTCATATATTTGCTGCATTTTTAATGTCATTATTTAAAAAATTATGCCTTGAGCATCTGATTTCTCCTCTGTGATTATGTCCTTTAAATATATAAAGGCTGGTTCTTTTACTGTCGATGAGAGACAATAGTGGTATTACAGATTTCTAAACAAATATTTTAATATTAAAAAGGAAACATAAGCTATATATTAGAGCAATTATCGAACCGTCATTATCGTTTTACCGAAAAATTTTATATTGTGATAATTATCGATATCGAATTATCGCCCAGCCCTAATATATATATATATATATATATATATATATATATATATATATATATATATATATATATATATATATATACATACACACACACATATACATATAGGGCTCGAAATTGCGACCTTTTTGGTCGCATATGCGACCTCAAAATATATTTGGGACCATTTTTGCAAGTGCATGTAATTGTGTGCGACCAGTTTTTACTGCAAAATGTTCCCAAATCTGCGCATGTGGTGAGGCATTCACGCAGAATGCATCTCTGCACTTGAAACATGAAACGCAGTACTCAGCAAAGGTTTAAAACAGTTGTCATGTCAACTTGCTGCAGTAAACAAAGCAAAGTCCGTAATGCTTGTCCCGCCTTCGCGCTCTTCTTATTGGCCCACTGCTCTAACACTAAAATATCAGCTGTCAATCACTCAGTCAATGCCTTCTGGCTTGGGGTGACAGAGAGCAACTACCACGAAAAATTGCAAAGCGCTGAAGATGAGAATGAAGATAACACTGACAAATTTTGTTTTAGAAACCATCTAATTACAAATAATGACACATCTTAGTAGTGATCATGTGCTGAATGTTAATCCACCATCTACACTTATCGAAGAGTGGATAAAAGACTTCCATTGGCTTCAAGTCCGCTATGAAAAGTCTGTGGGATAGAATTTTCCGGTAACTGCGTGCCACTACTAGCATGAGAGCTTCAGTTTAATCCTTCATTTAATCGCCAGATGCTGTCCGCCGTGCAAGTGACAGCGATATGTAAAATTTAACATGTGTGATTTCCCGGCCGCAAAAACATCATTAAATGAAGACATAAATGATATTTTTAGAGGAATTACACCTTATAAATACAGTAAGTGACTCATTCAACATCATTTGGAGGTGTCAATGTCACTGAGCAATGTATGTGAAACAATGAAAAGACTCGTGCAGCCGCCTTTTCTTCTCTCCTGAACTTGAAAATATGATTGACAGAATCGTAGAAATGCTTGATTAAGATTGTCTAGGGGGTCGAATCGAGATCGCGATCTTTTAACGATGAATTGTGCAGCTCTAATATATATATATATATATATATATATATATATATATATATTTTTTTTTTTTTTTTTGCTTGTTAGTTTGATTACTGTTGATTTTAAATGCAATAAATCCGTTTGTATAAAACTTGTAGTAACGATGCTTATAATTGGTGAGTGCGACTAAATTTTGGCTGATGCGTCTAAATTTTTTTAGTTAGGAGCACCGGTGCTACCAAGAAAAAAAGGTTAATTTCGAGCCCTGTGTGTGTGTGTTTTTTTTTTTTTTAAAGGTAATACAATTTTATAGCATTTTAAAATGAATGTTTTTATCTTTTTTAATGTTCTCTGTCATTTTATTAAGAGCAAACTAACTTTTATTTTAAAACTATTATTTTTACTGCATATTATATTTATCTCAGTCTTTGCTTGCTTTAGTGATGTTTGCCAAGGTTTGCAAGAAAACTCCTGAAAAACATGTTGCTCTCCATGAACTATATGGGTGATTCTATAGTTGCATGTATATTTAGTGACCAAAGCAATCCTTTTTTCAGCTTTTAAAAAATTGTTATGCTACATTGTTACATTTTCGATTATTTATAAAATGTGTTCATCATTTTCAAAGATTACATTACGAAGAAATCATGATTTCTTGATGTACGAATTAGTCAGTGTATCTTTCCATCATGTATCATTGTGCAATGAAAAATATTTTATTTTGCTTTTCTTTAAAAAAAAAGTAATTAAAATTCACCAATATTTTAATTTTAAATGTTTAAACTGTAAACTGTCAATACTATTACAACAATTACAAAAGGAAAACTGAATATTTCAATCACACATTGGACAATTAAAAAATATTTTAATCCTGACTTCATTAGTATTATGTGATCTTTGCAGTTATAGCAAGTAATGTTTGGCTAAAAAGCTGTAAAATTGATACTGTCAATTCAGTAACAATTTAGTAACTACCCGTTAGGATTTTTTTTGCTATGATTTATTATTAATTTCTAAACATTACTAAAATCATCCATGACAGAGTTGACAAACAAAAAAAAAACTTTTCAATCCCTAAAGTTAAAACATTTAATCATGTATGTTTGGCAAAAACTGAATTATAAAAAATAAATATGCTTTCTATAAGATACTGGAAATAATTGCTGTTTTTGAAATGTAAAATATACATGCAATATAATTACCCATATTGCTTTTAATGTATATAATAATCTTTACAATAACTTTTGTGTTGTCACAGTGCTGGAATTTACAACTTTAAGATGATACCTTCAAAAATATCAACATTGCATACCATTTTCTATATTTTGTGATTTAAAAAAATCTTAATGTTATTATTAATTATAATTTAATGCACCAGAGCCAATATAGACATTAGTTTTTTTTTTAACTATCATAAACAAATTTTTGAATAGCAAATTTTCTTTGCATATTAGCCTACTTGTTAGTGGTAGATATCTAATACATTATCATTTATAGCCTATCAAAAAAAAAATCTAAGTTTATTTCGCATATAACATGTTTTAATCGACACACACAGCGTTTCAAGTGCTTTATCATAGCGCTCTGTGTGTGCGCGCGTCGGCCTGCTCCTTGAAGCATCTTGAATTATCAATATTTATTCTATTCATTATTGAACTCTGAATTTTGAATATTGTATTGCACTATTGTTGAGCACAACTGTGAACAGTAACAGTTTAAGATATCTTGTGTATGATTTTGACGTTTTTCCCTTATCAGTTAAAAAGTCCAATAACAGAGGAGATCACATGATAATTTGAGAGATTTAAAGGGGAAAAAAAGACAACACATCAATCGTCACCATGTTACATGGCTTTCGTATTTAATTAATCGAGTCAGTAATATTGAAATGAGTTCAGTTACTAACTTCTCGATATTGTTTATACAGATAAGGGACACGCAGCAGCGTGCGTCAAGAGAAGAGCGAACGTTTAGAGAGTAAAGCAAAAGCAATACTATGTTTATATGTGTAGAAACAGGTCTCAAAATGAACCTTTTTGCTTGGTAGCACCGGTGCTCCTAACATTAAAAATGTAGGCGCATCAGACAAAATTTAGTCGCACTTATAAGCACCATTACTACAAGTATTATACAAAAATATTTTTTGCATTTGAAATTAACACTAATCAAACAAGCAAAAAAATATATATGCAAGCGTGAGGAAAATATGTCTCAACGAAATCCCGTTATCACAAGAATATAGATTTTTTTTTTTTTTAAATAACTGAGTGACCAAAAGGTACATGGAGCGCTCACCGGCCCTGCACACACTGTTTGACATAAATGAATCTGTTAACAATATAACTGTGCTGTTCTCACAAGGTGGTGTTTGATAATGCAGTGATGATTTGACATGTACTGTTATATTATATGCATACATCATGTTAATAGCCATACCGGTCTTCATGAGTATTGATATTAGTTTACTCTGTGTAGCCTATTTGCGATGGCTAGCTCTCATGCTAGATGTGGCACGCAGTTACCGGAAAATTCCATCCCACAGACTTTTCATAGCGGACTTGAAGCCAATGGAAGTCTTTTATCCACTCTTCGAAAAGTGCTGAATGTTAATCCACCATCTACACGACCACTAGTAAGATGTGTCATTTGTAACTTTAGATGCCATGGTTTCTAAAACAAAATCTGTCAGTGTTATCTTCATTCTCATCTTCAGCGCTTTGCAATTTTTCGCGGTAGTAGCTCTCTCTGTCATCCCAAGCCAGAAGGCATTGACTGAGTGATTGACAGCTGATATTTCAGTGCTAGACCAGTGGGCCAATAAGAAGAGCGAGAAGGCGGGACGAGCATTACGGACTTGGCATTGTTTACTATAGCATGTTGACATGACAACTGTTTTAAACCTTTCCTGAGCACTGCGTTTCGCGTTTCAAGTGCAGAGATGCATGAATGTCTCCCAAATCTGCACATGTGGTGAACATATTGTAGTAAAAACTGGTTGCGCACAACAATTTTTTGCACTCGCACAAATACTCCCAAATATATTTTGAAGTCGCATAGGTAAAATTTCGGGCGCATATGCGACCAAAAAGGTCGCAATTTTGAGCCAAAAAACATGTTTTTTGAAGCTCACAGTTACATCTTATGCTGCTTTCTCAGTTATGAAATGCATCGCAAAAAAAAAAAAATGTTGTTAACTGATGTAGGGGCTGGGTGGGCCAGAACCACCAAGGTCCCCACGTGGAGACGGGCCTGCATTGGTGAACAAAGACTTTGTTTAATTTTAATCTAATTTTAGCATACAAGTTAGCCCATTTTAGTTTTCGCTTGAAAAGTAAACAATGTACTATATTTTCTAAAGAAAAAAGAAGTTTTAAACTGCATTGTTTAGAGGAAGTTGCAATGGTGTAAATGTTGTAATTTTCAGTTAAAACAATCTAAAACACCTAGACCCAAATAAAACATTTACAAACATCATTATGAATATGTATCTCAGATCCCCTACTCCACAACAAATCCTTTAAATGTAACCGTATTCAGAAAAAAACTGATGAAGCACATTTCAGATTTAATTAATAAATAACCATCTGGAAATAAATCGACTATTCTCTGGAATACAGCTGCTATAAGTAAATCCGGATACTCATGACCCAACGCTGTAATTCAGCTTTGTCATCAAGCAATTGTAAAATTTTAAAGGAAATAAAAGTTTTGTATAGAAACACTGACTGCACCTGTAAAGACAGCAGTGTATGGTGTTTAAGAATCTCACCTTCATCTTGGTCTCTCTGTGGGCCTCTGATATCCCGTTCTCTATCGTCTCTGCGCTCCCTCATGTCACGCCGTTCACGACGATCCTCGCGGTCAAAGTCTTCACGACGAGAGTCTCGCCAGCTGCTTTGTTCTTCTCCACCACCACCTCCGCCACCACCTCTCCTCCAGGCACTGCCCTCTTCCCTGCACACATACACACATTATACAGTTACACTTCTTGCCAACAGGCTTACATTTACATGACATTTGCTAGGTAAAAAATATAATTAAAACAGTAAAATTATGAATTACGAAAAACTTTGCTATGTGAACATATTTTGAATGAAATTTTGCTGTGATGGCAAAGCTGAAATTTTAGCATTTTAACTCTAGTCTTCAGTGCTGTTCTAGTATTGCTGCTCAATCAGTATTCCATAACTGTCACCTTCGGACATATATCTATGATGACAGCTAAAGAAACTTTGATAAGCCAAAATGTGCATCAAATAATCCGACATTTCTGAAGAGTCATGTGACACTGAAGATTTTAGTTGATGGCTGCAAAAAATGGCTTTGAATCACAAGAATGAGCACCAGTATTCAATATCAAGCAACATAATGAACTGTTTCATACAGCTAAAAATAGCTAGAACCAAATGACACCTGAAGCAAGACGCATTAAATTTAGAAATGACCTCACATGCTCTTACAAGTCAAAGAACATGCATAAAATGCACAACTGTGACAGCTGTTTGCTTTGAAATCTGCTGGACTCATGTTAAAGTTTTCTTTCAGAAATCCTTACATCTTAACAACTTCTGTTTTTCAGTTTCCCAAACACCTACAAAGGCTACGTCAGTCTGTTGATAAGCCTCTGTCATCAGGCTCATGTCATCGAGAGTTTGTCCAATTTGGCATGTAAAATGGAGAGATTGATTGGCTGTTAAGCTGTGGTTAAGATGCAAGTGCAAAAACTGACGAAACCAAACAAATGACTCAAGAGGGAACACAAAGAATCTGACTCATTTCATAGCATTTCTCAAATATTTCCAATCGATATGGATTACCAGATTATCAGACATGTTTGCACAACCAAAACCCTCTGTGGTGGTCTACAAAGTACTGTGAAAACTGACTGCAAAAGTTGCTTCATTTTGCTTTCTATTAGGGCTGAACAATAAATTGCATGTGACTGTCATGTGCATTATTTAAAACAGGCTTTCTGCAGGTTTCATTAAGTTAAATTCAAGACGTGTTTAAGACCATTATGAATGACATTTTAGTCTTAAACAGGGCTAATTGCTAAGGATATTTTTCGAATATCCAAGTTAGAAAATATTTTCACTTGTGAAAATGATAAAAATTTAATAAACCAATAATAATACTTTTGTTTTTAGATTTAAGGGTGCTTTCACACCTGCCTTATTTAGTTCGGTTGAATCGCACTAGAGTTCGTTTTCCCTCTTGGTGCGGCAGGAGTAAATGTAGCAATCACACTCGAGTGCGCACCAAAAGCAGACCAAAAAATGCGTAGCTCCTTGAAGAGGTGGTCTCTGTACGCATTCAAACGAACCCTGAAGCAGTTTGTTTGTAGTGAGTATATGATCCGAACTAAAACAGACCCAACCTTTTTGGACTAATCCATCTGCCGAAGGCCAATGTGCTGTGCATTATGGGATATGGAAGTAAAATATTTGTTGACAGCACTTTACCAACAGAAAGAGAGAAAAACATTACCTGATAGATTGTTGGTAATATTTGATGATGACCATGTCGCAGATTAGCAAAATTAATTCATGCCTTCTGACGTGCTATGCGCCATCGGACCAGTCTGACCAGTATAATCGAAGCTTTTGCTAAATTGCAAATGTAATTGTGTCGATAAATCGCTTAGCCCTACTTTGTATGTGTTCTCAGTATTAGTGTTTCAGTACGGTCTGGTGAGGCTATTGTAGGTACAGAAAGGTAGATCCTCTCAGACAGGAAAAGGACACATTCTAATTTCAGTGAGCAGTTGTCCGTTTGCTGTTCAGCACTGCTTTTTGGTCAAAACAGACAAGACACGGCACGTTAGATCTTTTGATGTCAGCTTGGTGTGTTCCCGATTTAAACATGAATAGAATTGACACCATAGAAAACAAACATGACTGAGCTACTAGCAAATTAGATCAAAACAAAAGACAATAAGACAGAATTATCTGAAAGTAGAAAGATTTTCACCTAGCAGAGCGGCGTTCTCTAAATCGTTCTCCTTCCCGCTGGTCATCTCCATCACGCTCGCCACCATCATCATCATGGCCAGAATCACGAGGAGGTCCCCAGCTTTCCTCCCGTGCCTTCTCTCGCTCTCTCCATCCACCTGCAAAAGTTTACATGGAGGATAAAATAAGATTATACTTGCTGCTGTAAAAGACCATATAAACACCGTCTTCATCAATTAATTATTGTGATTTCCCTGTGATTCGATCCCCTTTAAACTCATATGCTTGACAATATAGGAAAAAAACATGCCTGCACCTGGTCTTCCAAGAGGTTTCCAGGGTCTAGAGTCTTCTCCACGACGCGGGCCGGAGTCATCCATACCCCTGCGGCCCCCCCTCTCATCATCTCCCCCTCTTCTGGGGCCCCAGTCATCATCTGCACCACGACGAGGGCCTCTAGGTTCATCCATGCCTCTACGGGGCCCGCGATCATCATCAAATCCTCTTCTCGGGCCACGGTCGTCATCGCTTCGTCTGGGGCCGCGGTCATCGTCGATTGGGCGCCTTGGCCCCCGGTCATCATCCATCCCACGCCTTGGCCCACGGTCGTCATCGCCTCTCCGTTGACCTCGGTCATCATCAAAGCCTCTCCTGGTCCCGCGGTCATCATCAAAGCCCCGTCTGGGTGGACGCTCATCATCACCTCCTCGACGTGGACCTCGATCGTCATCACAGCCTCTGCGGAGTCCTTTTTCATCTGAAGCACCACGACGAGCACTTTCTCCACCTCTTCTGAAGGGTAGGTCACGGTCTTCCCGATCAGGTTCCTCACGGCCTTCTCGTCCTTCCTGACGCCAGTCCCTGGGGTGAAATAAAAGCAGATGCTCAATTTCAATACCTGGTGTCTTTAACTGTATTTGTCCCTCTGCGTCTACCTGGCGCTTACCGGTCAGGAACAGGACGTCGCCACTCTGACTCTCCCTCACCTCGTTTCCTCCAGCCACTTTCTTCCCGCTCAGCCCATTCCTGTGTTAAATATTTTAATAATTTGAAAAAAGTTACTGTGCTCAGCATAAATTAGTAAACCACTCAGATCTCTCTTCCAAGATAATATATTTATAGGATGCTTCACACACACACACACTTGCACGCACACACGCACACCTTCATTTGTGTTTACTAGAAAAAAGGTCATCTATTTAATGTTTCTACTGTACTCTTGATCAATAGATGCAACAGTGTGCAATCTTGCAAAGCTTAAACTTCATACGAGATACCTTGTTTGGTTTTTCTTCTGGTGCCCTCCTCTCCTCCTCCTTACGCCGCTCGCGCTCCTCAATTTCTTGTTGTCTGGCACGCTGCTTTCTTTCCTGTTCCTCCAGCTTGCGCAGACGCTCCTGGTATTCACGCTCTTCCTCCTCTCTTTGCTCCTGTTCCAAGCGTTCGCGCTCTTCCCGTTCTTAAAAAAAAAAAATTTTTTTTTAAAAAAGCAATTCAAAAAAAAATTTAGATCATTGAGAAAAAGCAATTACACATTACTTCAAGATTAAAAAAGAGAGCTATCATTTTATGATGTTTTCTTTTTTTCATAATCTGCAAAGAAACTTAACGGTTAATTTAATCAAAGCAATGGAGGGTTAAAAAAAAGAGCAACCTTTTTTAAGCTGCTCCTCACGGATTCTTTGAGCTTCCTCCTCTTTTTGGTGATAGAAGGCCTTTCGTCTGTCCTCTTTACGCTGCTTCTTCCGCTCCTCAAGGCGCTTTTTCCTCTCCTCAACCAAGCGTTCTTGGAACTGCTTGAGTTTTTCCTGGATACATGAAAATTAAAGCTTAGCTACCTAAAATAACAACTTTAATAAACATGGAATTTCTACCTATATAAGTATTATTTTAAATGAAGAAAAAAATTAAGAACATTAAGAAATACTACATCATCAAATCGTTACTTTCTGAATCCTAACCTAACCGTGAAGCAAGTGAAGAGCAACAACACCTCTAATTCTAAACAATGATATACTGCCCATAACGGAAGCAGAATTATAACCTGCAAATCAATGACTGATTAAATGCCATGAAGTTAAAAGTTCTGTTTACCTCATAGATGAAGCTTCGAGCAGCTTTAATTTTGGAAAGGAAGTTCTCCTTGTCCTCCATCATCCTGGACATTCTCTGTTTGTGTTCTAGTGCTTTCTCACGCTCCATTTTCATGTTAGTGATCTGAAAACATATACACACACACCAAATTTTAGCTTTTTTGCCCAAAACAACATTTGGGCGATGTCATTATCCAGGCATTAACAACACAAGACCTCAAAAAATATTGCAAGCTACAGTTAGAGAAAAAGTATGTTGGGGATTTGAGGCTACTTTTAGCCAAAAATTGAAACATGGACCAGAGGGCAAAGTAAATGGCATGTAATTCAGACAAGAGCAAAAAGCTATATGCAATTATTACCCTCTCTTCCTCCTGCAGCTCCCATAACTCCATGTCTTTGATGCGCTGCTCCTCATAGGCTTTTTTGATCAGAGGAATCTCCTCAAGGCGCTTGGCCCTCTCAAAGTAGTCAATCTGGAATATGTATAATAAAATTACTCTAGTGTAAGGTTTGGTTGTAGTCTACTCACCTGCACAGAATTAAACCTAATTCATGCACACATGTTAACCAGCATGCTTAGCATGTCATTAACAAGTCATTAAAGCAGTACCTTCTTCTCCTGGTTTTTCAGACGCTCCTGAAGTTCTTTCTTCTCCTTTTCAAGTTGTTCTACTTGTTTAGCCATGATGAAGTCAGGGTCCAGTTCCTCTAGATCCTACAACACAAAATGAAACCATTTCAACTAACAAAACACTTTAAAATGTTACTGCCATAGCATTTTTGGGGAAAAACAAAAAAAGGTTCTAAGTTAAAATGTCCACTGCCCTAACAAACTCAGTACCTCAATGTCAATGTCTTTGAAGGCTTTGGCTCCCAGCTCAGTCTTCTTAATCTGCTCCAGTCGCTCACGCACAGTCTTCTTCTTGATCTGCTCGTGTTCCTGCATGATGCGCTCCTTCTCTCGCTCTTTGGCCTCTTGTCGGAGTCGCTCCTCCTCTGCTTTGCGCACTTTCTGAAGTTCAGCCTCACGCTGCTCCAGCTCCTCTTTCTCCCTCTGGATGTTGAGGCTCTCCAGACGCTCCTTTCGCTCTTCAATTGTCTGTCGGCGTGCCAGAATGCGCTGGTGCTCTTTGCGGGCATTCTTCAAATAGGCTGTGATCGCCTGTTGTCTCTGTTCCTCATGGTCTTGCTGTGGACAAAGTTCGAATGGATCAATTAACTGAAAAATCAAACTAGGAAGCAGGGAGATAACGGATAAAACGGAGTGGCTCTCTTACCAGGATGGAAGCAGGTTTGATGACTTGGATGGCTTTGGCCAAGGAGGATGACATAGCAGTGAGCTGATTACGTATCTGTTCAGAGGGCATGTTCTGTAGGAATGGACCTACTGGGGAATCTTCTTTTGTAGAGTAGTTCAGATCAGAGCCAAAACTCAGGGTACGGGATGAATGATCAATGCGTACCTTTAGGTTTAATAAAAAATGTGTATAAATTTGATTATTTGGTGATTCTCTTACACATGCAAATACCCAAACACTAAAAATTACTCAGCACACATGCATGCTAAAAACAATTTAAGACAAGTGAAGGTGAGAAATTGATTAATTACAAAAATTATTTTTATGGTACCTGCAGATCACAGTGCCGTGCTGCATCTACAATTGAGCGCTCCAGCTGGAAAGCGTCAACAAATGGTACCAGAGATGCCAACCTGCTGAACTCAATGCTCTGGTAGATCTGAGCCACCTGTTACATTTATTGCCGAAAGGAAAATGAAATGAAAATTAGCAAAGTAAGTGGGGCAGGCACACATTCTTCAAACAGGTAATCTGGGGGTAGATTAAACCAACTTGTTGCAGCAGTCTGAGGATTGTGTTGTTCTGCAGGTGAGGAACATACTGCTGCAGGTCTGACTCCTTTTCAGCTTGGTCTCTCACCCAGTTCAATACCTAAACAACAGGAATCACAAATGTGTTGTCATCAATAAAATCATGACATTGAAGACTTATGTGTCAACATAAATATGATCTTGAGCATGTAATTAATCTCAAATGCAATAAAATAACTGTGGTCACTTGCATAAACATATGTAAAGACTCTCAAAACTGTTATTTAATCTTCAGGCAGCTAGTAAAAAGTAATTACAAAAAAGGCTAAAATTAGAGTCTCCTACAGTTGAAGAATGAATTGATAGTCACACTACACATGTAATGGGAAAAACTATCTTTGTAATTAAGAACACAGACTGAGTATTTTTTTCTAACTTGGAATAAATGGATTGGGTGTTTCACCAATATGCCTGGATTTTTTCTTGAATTGTAACTTTTAAATTTAATGTGTATAAATATTTATATTTTCTTTAAAAGGCAATCTTCTTAAGCAGGGGTCAACAAACTTGTTCCTAGAGGGCCAGCGTCATGCAGGTTTTAGCTTCAACCTTAATCAAACACACCTGTGGCCTGTTTTAGTAAGAAGATTCAACCAACTCAGAGTTTAAACTTGAAATCTGAGTTGATTTACAGAGAGGATAAAAACTCTGGAGTTTTCAGTTTCAGAACAGAAGATCTGAGTTGGGTCAATCAACTTTGAGTAGACCAACTCAGAGTTAAGCGTGCACACCGTGACTATAAAAAGGCATTATCAATGGAGCACAGATATTACGAGTGACCATGGCAACGCCTGAAAAAAAAGAGATCACTGTTTCTTTCTCCAGCTGAACTTGATGTGCTCAAGCAAAGTTATAGCAAATATGAGCATATATGTTAAAAAGCAACACTGCTGCATCAGTGAAACAGAGACAGTTAGCGTATGAAAACAGCTTGAGTAAATGTGCAATTTTACATGAAAGTTAAAACATTTGTGTAACATTATAAAATAAGTAATGTTCTGTGTGACATTTTTAAATTTTACACGTCCCCACTTTTATACACGTTGATCAGTTTTAATAGATTTAAAAGTGCACTTGTGTGTCTGCCTTTTTATTGATCAAGTGATAGAGGTTGATATGACATTTAAAATGTAAGCAAAACTAAACAAGTTTTTTTTTTTTAATATTTCCATTAATCTAGTAAAATTACATGTCCCTGTCGAAGGTCAGTGAATTTAAGCTATTTGTTTATTAAGAGGACAAGCCGTTCTCGTACGTGACTGTTCTTTGTGTGACTAAAATGTAGACAAAAAATAGCTGTTTCCAACCAAATATGTTAATTACAAAAAAAAAAAAAATCACTTCCTGATTAAACAGCGCCAAATATCAACATTAAAAGCAGAATTTACTGCGGTAAAAGAAGCTGCATCAATCTTTGCTTTACTTAATAAATGAACTTGTGCCTCAGAAAACAGTGCTGACACACAATGAACACGTGGGGGCGTTTGAAGCCATGAGACGCGGAGAACAGACACTTGCTCCAGACGCTCTGAATGTCATTAATAATATACATAATACATTAATTATATACATTATACATATATAACAAGCTAAACAAGGTCTTTCTAGGAATACTTGAAACACCCAGGCAGGTGGTTTGAGACAAGTTGGAGCTAAACCCTGCAGGGCAACAGACCTCCAGGAACAAGATTGGTGGCCCCTGTTCTAAAGGATTTGCAGCTCCCCATGTTTTACTGTTTATAGTTGTTGTTGTTGTTAAAGTAAATACAAAGCATATGCAAGATCTGTAAGTCTCTTTTTGCATGAGAAATTATGCAAGTAATATTTTCTTTTGGAAACTCAAAATATATATAAAAAGGGTTGGACACTTGCAGCCAAGGGGTAAGCGGTCTTGCTTTTTATATTTAAAGTAGAGCGGTCAACATTTTTGTAACTGACTTAAGACTAAAAAGAAAGAATATTGTGACTAAGCTTAGTCTAAATAACAAGCTAAGTAATGACATCTTAAGGTTGATTTATACTACTGCATCAAGCGCACACGCATGCTACGGCGCAGCCTTCGCGTGGACGCATAGGCCTCGCCGATGCGCACCTCTCAAAAAATGTAACTACACATTGCATGTATAAATACACAGCTATGCGTGTTGCATGCGCCGTGGGTCACACCGATCACTTGACACAAGTATAAACCAGGCTTTAAGGGCCAATCACACCAAACACATATTTCTGTGTTGAGGAGCATCTTCTGTTTTCTAACAAGTGTTTTTTTTTTTTTTTTTTTGGAACTGTTTTTATTTAAGTTTTTATAAACATAGTATACAAATAACATTTACTTAAAATGTTTACAATCACAAAAAAAAAGGAAACAATTAGAAAGAAAATAATAATAGATATAAATTATTATAATAGATAAATAATAGTGACAGCTTAAAGAAAAAAAATATATAAATAAAAAAAATAATAATTTTAATAAAAATAAAAAGGAGGGGTGGGATGAACAAATAAATACACTCCAATATAAAGGCAATAACTATGACAAAGACAAATCCCCTGACAGCCTTTCAAAAATCAACTATGTACATTTCGATTAATGCCCACGGCTGTTGAAAAAAGTCTGATTTCAGCAGCAAATCTGCAGTCATTTTCTCAATATATATATATATATATATATTTCAACCTCTGTGTCCAGAGTTTTTTTTTACAGTTTTCAGTATTTCTTTCACTTGTCTGTCTCATTCATTCACTCGGACATTAATTCCCAGCTCACGTAGTTGCAGAGCAGCATCCACCAGTGTAGAGAATGTCTTTACTCCCGTCTCAAGATAGATCCTTATCTGTGCTGGATAGACACACTGCACCCGCACATTCTTCGTCCTGAGCTGTTTCATGTCGTCTTGCACCTGTGCTCTTTTCTTCTGTAACTCTGGTGAGTAGTAATTGTCAAAGTAGAACCGTTTCACATTGTACATTACCTCGTTCTGTGACCAGGCGTGTCGTAGGATTGCATCTTTAACAGCAAACTCCAAGAATCTCACTATTATTGATCTAGGGGGTGCAGAGGGATCTATGTGCTCTTTCAATCTTTATGTACAATTCCTGAGGCAGTTGTAGAACCTTCACAGCCCTCGGGTACTTGGCATATTCTCAAATTATTTCGGCGAAGTCTATTTTGTAAGTCTTCGCATCTTTCTGTGCGATCCGCCTCACATTCCAGCGGATATCGATGTGCCCTTTCATGCCGCATCCCGGTCTCCTCAACAACTCTGATACGTTCCTCGGCCTCTAATTCTTTTTTCCAAACCGTTTATTTTGCATTTCGGGTCCTCAACTGAAGTCTCCAATTTTGTCAGTGATGTTTTCGTTTGTTTATGCCTGTCTTGATTTTCTCTTCGTTTCAAACGATTTCAGTTTGTCCATCCCTTCAGAAAGCTCGGGCACCCGCGGGCTAACATTAGCTTTAGCTTGTCCAGCAGGGCTAGGTGATTTTGTCGTCTCTTTCTCCGTATTTAAATTTTTTTATGTACTCTTATATCTCGTCGACATACTCATTCTGAAAACTCTTCTTATATTAGAACTAGTTACCTGAATCAGGATTTATTAAAAAAATAAGATGGAGCTTAACTTTTAAGCATGCGCCATCTCTATTGCGCCACCGGAAGGTCTAACAAGTGTTTTGAGCACCACTTATGCTCCCTGTGCCCCTCGCATTTTAATGAATTGCTGCACCTTGCATTTTTGCTGTTGCACACTGCGTTTTCATTTCCTAATCAAATGAAAGCAGAGCCGGGGTTTTCATTGCGGTGACAGCAGTGTTTGTGTTGTCAAGATGACTACAGTGACTTTTAAAGATGGAGGAGAAACTAGTAGTTGCTGTTTTTTGTTGTCCAGTATGTATTCTGTATGCCTTAAGAGATCTTGAATATCACAATACTATTAAATATTACAATTATAACAATATCAACAGCAACACACACATACACACAATATGCAGCTGATTCAGTTGTGGTGTAGTGATATAAAAAACACCACAAAACTGTTTTCCTTGTCAACAAAAAAGGCAGTGTGGTGTGCCTCATGTTTTTGAAACGTAAAAGTGTGTTAGGTGTGATCGGTCTCTTACGATGTTTGCTAACAGTATACAGTACAAGTGGAAAGTATTTCAAACTTATTCTCATCCATAAAACCTAGGAATTCAATTTCAATATTTTAGGACCTATACACTTCCTCTGTATAATAATTCAGTTAATAGAAATTAGTCTGGTAACAGTTTTAACAAAATAACATTATAATGTTCCACTCACCTTAGTCACTCTTCCACACAGTTTAAGAGGGTGAAAGTCCACCTCCAACCAGTTGTAGAGTTCTTTGACTTCAGGGACAACATACTGAAGCAGGTTAAACCTCACCTATGGTAAAGAAAACCCCCAAAATGTGTTATTTATAATTTTTTTTTTTTTTTTCAAAAAAATCATAATGTTGCAATTAAAAAATTTCACATCACCATTTACTTAAAAGCTTTGGTTAAACTGACATTCAACAACAACAACTTACAACTTTATGTAAAAGATCAAAAAACTCTTAGGTTACAATAACATATTCACTTGTTCTTGAAAATTTCTTGAAGTCATAGGATTTTTAACAACATGAGGATTAGAAACAAAATGACCAATAATTAGATCAGTAAGACAAGAGATGGGCTATCCTAACCATGTCATTGATGAGACTCTGGCGGGTAGGTGGAGACTGGAGGCCAAGTAGAGTAGCCAGTCTGCGATGTTTCTCCACAATGATGCCATCCATGTCCAACAGCCGAGCAATATCAGTACGCTCAGGCGTGATGGGAATAGACAGAGTGGCCAAAAGCACTCGAGTAGACATTCTGAGGGAAAGTACAACAACAGGGTTTTAAACTTTTAAGTAAGTCTATTTGTTTGTGCCTAATCACAGAGTAAAACAAAATCTGATAAATATTCTTGATGGATGAAAATTGATTTTGCCATAAAGAACAGAGATTATTGGGCAGCAAGGTGGCGCAGCGGGTAGCGATGTCGCCTAACAGCAAGAAGGTCACTGATTCGAGCCTCGGCTGGGTCAGTTGGGATTTCTGTGTGGAATTGCCATGTTCTCCCTCAGTGTTTCCTCTGGGTGCTCTGGTTTCTCTCACACGTCAAAAGACTTGCGCTATATGTGAATTGAGTAAGCTAAATTGGCCGTAGTGTATGTGTGTGAATGTGAGTGTGTGGATGTTTCCCAGTGATGGGTTGCAGCTGGAAGGGCATCCGCTGCATACTAGCATATACTGGATAAGCTGCCAGTTTATTTCGCTATAGCGACCCCTGATTAAAAAAAGGGACTAAACTGAAAAAGAAAATGAATGAATACATGAACAGAAGATATTCTCCCAACATTAAAAAAAATTAACTGTTTGTTCTACAGTCTGGGGCAGACCCACTGCTGCAGACTTCTACATCAGGGGACTAAACATTTACAAAATGTATAAACTATATATAGACCCCTCCCTGACATTTGTTTTTAAATCCTTAAGAGTTCCTGCACAAACCGTAACACAAGTGAAATGATTCCACAAAGCATTTATTTCCAAATTGCTCATATTTAAACACTTGCCTCTGCATCTCTTCTTGCGTGAGGTTCTTGCGCATTTCCCTGGAGAGGTGATAGAGTCGGTGTAGAGTACAGGAGTGGAACAGGGCATTGCCAGACTTCCAGAAAACTGTTGAGACTTTATTGTAGTAGTTGGCCATAAGCTGGGGTTTAGGGGGCTTTTTTGAGAGGGCAAACAATCCATGGATGTCTTCAACTGCTTTGAATGCTTCCTGCATGGGTTGCAAATCATACAAGCAAATGTAGTTACCAAGTCAAAGCTTGTGCAACATGTAGCAAGCACAAATCTCGAAGTGCAAATAAATAATCCCCCCACCCCCCTAACAGTCTCACTGTCCTTTTCTGTAATCAATAAAATGTAGTTTTTTTTATGCTAAACACCTTCTTGTTTACTGACACAAATTTTAAAGCTAAAGTACAAAAGAAAATTTTTATTTAATGTATTTGTATGCAACACATTCCAATCAGGGTATAATGCATCAAGCATGACATACCTGCCACAGTTCCATGCTGATAGCACTGTCCAGCTGGACAAGACGAGTCTCCAGATGCATGGACTGGCTCTCAGGGTTGTTGAGGTTGATGGCAGTGCTCTGGTTGTGATGCCTCTGGATTTGCCCCAAGTGCATTCGCAGGTTGTCACACAGCTTACGGAACTCTGCTTTACGAGTGTACTGCAGGCAAAACTTAAATGCTGTACAAAAAAAATAAAGTATTAACAGTTTAAGTTTGAATACCTTAAATAAAAACAAATTATGGTCTTTGAATTCAACAAAGAATCCCACATTTTCATTAAACAGTTAAAATGGTTTTCAACACTGATGATCTGATGTTATCAGTATTTCACAATATTACCAATTGACTATTTATAATGTACTGAATGCAGTATTCCTGAGCATTAGAGATGCTATAGTTTAATCAAAACTTTAATATAAATATAGATTTATATATATATTTATAGTTTATATATCACTCCACAGAACACTGAACTACATCAACAGGAACAAACTACATTACACAGAAATAAACATTATCTGTACCATTTGCTTAAACTCCAATAAGCAGGTGGTTTTGTCCTCACTGACCTTGCTGAGCAATGTCATGGTAAAGACGCTCCACTTTGGAGTTATTCCTTAACAGGTCCAGGCACTGACGGTAAGACTCCCACAGGAACTTGACCCAGGGTGTCAGCAGAAGTCTGTCAGTACGGTCCTGAGTGTCTTCACCACTGACGGCACTCAACAGAACACTGAAAAAAAACATTTTAGAAATTTAGAGCTTCAAACAGTCATTTATTACACAGAAAAAAATTATCTAGAAGGAGAAAAGGTCCCATTTTAGCCAAAGTGTAGCTCAAAATGAACAGTCATCGTTTATTCTTCTTAAATTAGTAGTTACCAACTACTGCATAGTTTGTTTTTTTTGTCCTTTATGTCGAGCAGCAAAATGAAGCTGAAACAGTTCTGAAACATCAAGAAGGTGAATAAAATAACTTAAAAATTAAAACTTAAAATTCCTTTAAAGCTGGAACTAATACTTTCATCATTTTGGTTGTTTTTAAATCAATAGTGTATACTTTACAGAAATTGATCATAGACGTCACTTCTAATTACTGATAAATTCTGAAATGCTTGATTAAATCACTGACAACCAATAGGTTTGAAGAAATGGTTTGAACTTTCAGATTCCCGTACCTTTCTGGGGTCTGAATGTTGTCCAAATCCTCAATGTCCAGAACCATCTGCTGAGACTCCTCTTTAGCGGTCTCGGTCTTCTCTTCCGCAAGTTTGAGGTAAGCACGGACGACATCCTCTAATGATTTGATATTCACCTAAACCACAAAAAAGTCAGCAATTCAGTGAAAAAGATAACGGACAATTGACTTGTCGGTTCTTTTACAAGCAAAAACTGCACAAATAACCAGAGAGAGAGGTTGTCTTCCTAATAAAATAAAATGGTTTAAAGTTTGTATGACTCTTAAACACTAGAATGTCAATTTGTGTCTTATTTTATTGTGAATTATAATTAAAACACAAACATAAATAAAAAATATATATTTAAAAAACTTTTGTTAAAATGGAAAATGAATTTTTATACCCATAAAAGAGCCCCTATTATGGGTTTTTGAGAATGACCTTTTTATGGAGTGTTTAACACAGCTCTAAGTGAAGTGAAATATCCAGCTAAGGCTTAAATCTGAAAGTGGACAGTGTTTAAACTACTGATTCATCTATTAGAGTCGACTCATAGTGCTTCAAATTAATCGTCTTGATAAAGAGTCTTTAGGCGTTTCAATGTGACGTGGATACAAAACTTAAGCCCTACCAGTTGGTGTGCGCACAAACCCAGGAAAATTTTAACCATTTATTACACAAATGAGGGTTAATATGAATAATCACTAAACACTGCACTCTGACACAAAAGTGCATGTATTTGACCATTAAAGTGCTCTCAGTAAGATGGCGTTAGATGTGTGTGCTCTGCTCGTCTCCAAGGCTAAGCGTGCGCACACACAACAGCATGCGCTGTTTTGCGCATTTAAAAACATAAATGATTTAAAATGTACATCGATAAATGATGCACACCCCATGCTGCAGAAGTTACATGCTTTTAATCATTTTCACATGGAACTGAGCTTTGCAGAGCAACAAATGTGTACAACTAGAAAGGAGGCGGTATATGATGCAATAATCGTTTATTATGACTAAAGGGTCACGAAACACAAAAATACATTTTTTGAGCTGTTGACAGTCATATGTGTCCCACGCTGCTAAACACACTATTAGGCCACATATATTGCACTAAAAAGTGAAAATCTGTTGTTTTTGCATTATTTCGAGCAAATTCGTTCTTGCGGTTTAAAACTTATTTTAGAAGCTGCGTCATGGCGATTAGATCCTTGCGTGTATTCCAGAATGTAGACTGGCTGTCTGTATCTGGGAGTACATTGTGACGTCTCCGAGCGTGCTGCATTCATTCATGAGAAAGGCTTGGTTTTAACCAATCAGCGCTCTATTGTGTATGCGGTGCAACTTCATTAACCAGTTAAACTCTGCTGCTATTTTGGGATTTCTGCCTGGATCATTTTAAAGAAAACCCTTTAAATTTTCATAAAACACTATTGAAAGTGTTTAAAATATCTGTATATGTTGTCTGTGTTATAATAAACACCTAAAAGAAAAAAAGAGGCGCTTTTTGTATTTTTTTTTTATGAACTCAAATTTGAAAGTGTTCTTTTTAGGTTCTGTGTGGTCTAGCGGAGATGTAATTAATTTTGGTGGTTCCTGCACATGCCTGTAATCATAAGAAAAAAGAAAAATGTGTCTACCATAATCTATGCAAAAGTTATTGCATTCCAACTGATGAGAGGTGCTATACAAGCCACAGGGACCGATCATTGTATTTATATTTCACTATTCTTTTGTTTGATCAAACATGATTCACTCAGTTTGAACCACGTCAGACATATAAGAGGATTACTTATGCACATCACCTCAAAAACAGAGGAGAATGGCCCTGAAGTGCACAGCATAAGGTAAGAGATGACAGCTGTCTAAGCTATCTGGGGTTGCTTAGTGATCATAAATGTATTGTTTTCATTTCTGCACCATGGAAACACTGCAATTCATTTGGCAACTGTTTGATATGTGAATATAATTCAGTAAAAAGTATGCTAGAACCGTATGAGCACCAGCAAGAGCTTTCATTTGAGCTATAACTTGTACATGTGTCATATGAAAAATATGATGTATGTATTTTTTTATTTAATGCCATGTCAGCAACCAAGGCTATTTTCATGGCAGGAATCTTTCAACAATAAATATACAATTTAAAAATCAACAAACAAAATAAAACAATTAAATAAGATTTTTTTTTGTGTAAATACATGATAAAAATTCTAAAATCTTTTCTGGTTCAACTTGGTTAAAAATGTTCTTAAAAGAGTAAAAAGAGAAAAATATGAAAATGAACCAATGTAATATACCTAGCTCGGGTATCCAAAATAGTGTGTATTAAAGTGTAAATAACTTTTGTACAGTAGAATAAAAACCAAAGTGATGTGCATATGTGCATAAAATATAGGTTCTACACTTTCAAACGAAACCACTTACGGGGGTCTAGTGCAATGCTAGCCCTTTAAATCTTAAACCGAAAGTCGATGACGTCACAGAGTTTAAGTGGTTAATATGCATGATAGCTTTGAAGACAGTTTTTACCTGTACAGTGTTCAGATGGCAGAGACGCCATGTTGTGTTGCCAAAACAAGTGGTAAAAGAATTGTTTGGAGATACGGGTCATCAGTGTTGCCTTTATAATTTGCTGCAATGAATGTTTTGTTTTCATTTTCCCGCTATAAGAGTACAGCTGGACTCACGTGTCCATTTTGTCCACGTCTAACATTTTGTATCCGAGAGCTTTTCTCATCTGGAAATGGTGAAATCGGGATTTGCTGCTCGTCTTCTTTGAAAAATGACACGGCTTCAGTTGGTGTTGATTGTCCTGTCTCTACAGATGGTTGGATTGGTAAGCGATCGATTAGTGGTCTTTGTTTGTTTATTCAGATGGCAAAGTTAGTTTGTATCGTCAGCAGTACTCTTTCAGTGTATAAAGACATAACTTAGTCAAAATGATTTCTAAGTTACTAAGTTTATAGTACGTTAATATCGCTTCAATATTATAGACCGAAAGATCTGCTATAAATGCAGCTCTCAGAGTGTAAACATGTAAACACTGCAATTAAACTTTCCGTCGAGGATTTGCCACATTTTGACACAGGAACAACACACACTGCTTTCTGACGCAACCTACTGAGTGCATTTAAGTTGCAGAGAAATGCAAAGGGATTTTTCCCCCATTCGTCGTGCAGTATTAAACATATGGAATCAGTTTAGTCTCAAAAGAAATTCATGCAAAAGACACGATGTACACATGCGTAGCCAAATTCACGTGCATAAAATCAAATTCACGTGGGTAAAATATTTATTTATATTCACAAAAAAAGAGCGGAGCTGCTGCAAAATAATGGATAAAAAGTGTGAGGCTATGGTCAAATAATTAAATAAATGAAAAAAAGTGCGACTGCTGCTTTCTCCGTTCGCCATGCTGGAGAGAAACAGTCTGCGCAAATGAAGTGCAGAGTTGGTGTCATTGACTACAGCTCTCATCTGATTGGCTGAAAGGTACGAGTTACCCTGCCTCTGGCAGGAAAGTCTCAAAAATACTCACACACGTATCCAGGTGGAGTCGTACGTGAAAGAGGATTTGCACATTCTCATTCAGGATAAACTCGCAAGTTTTAAACATTCAAAACTTTTTGTACACTCTTATACATTTGCAAATGGTGTTATGCATTTGTGAAACATTTTATGAAAATGTATTTTTATTTTGAGCACGTGAAAATTTTTGTGAATATAAATAAATATTTTACGCACGTGAATTTGATTTTATGCACGTGAATTTGGCTACGCATGTGTACATCGTGTCTTTTGCATGAATTTCTTTTGAGACTAAACTGATTCCATATCAAACATTCCATTTAAAATACACACTTCCTGCAGTTCCTCGAATCAAATTTCTCATTTGTCACGAGTAGCATGTATGTAATGTTCCTGAATGAAAGTGCCAAACTGCTGTTAAAGTCCACCATTTAATAATTTGGAACATAATTCGATTACTGATGTCCATGTAAACAGTCACTGTCTTTCTCCCCTGCGTCTGTGTTTGTTTTGGCTCTGTGAAAATCAGCATGTGCCTAAATCAAAACTCCCATTTTCATGCAAATGTTTATGCACGATCCCTCTTTCCCTGCTCCAACACTCCCCCATAAACAGAGCTAGACACACTCACTTTCCTGACTTTTTCCAAACTAAAAATAATAAACCCAGTTTGGAACAAGTAAAGGTGAGTTAATGGTCACAGAATTTTCAGTTTTGGATGAATTAGGGTGAAATATACTTTAATATATTTTATTTAGGGATGCTAACGATTACTTGATGTTCTATTGATTGTCAATAACACTTTAATCGATAGATCTTATCGATGAGACTGATTAAACATGGACATGTAAAGGTTTAGTTATGCTTTGCGCTGTGAGACACGTCCACGCATTACATAATCAAGTGTGTGCAGTTATATCCGCGGATGTTTTAACAAAATTTGTCTGACAGACTAGCACAAATAGGCCTATGCAGACTCTTATTTTACAAATCGCGCATCACAACAAAAACATGTGGGGAGCCGTAAAGGTTGTATTTTTGCCTCCTGTTAGGGATGCGTAAATGACAGTTTTATCTGCGGGCGCTGCGGATAAACCGCGGGTCGGGTAATAAAAAAAATACATTATAACTAGCTAATTGCAGGTCAGTTGCGGGTGTAGAGCGGGACATGGCAGTAGATCAGTGAAAAAGCAGAGAGCCAGCTTAGCATTATTCACTGCAGTCTTAGCATTAGTCACTGAAGTCTGACTTCCATTTTGCAAACACGTAGAAAATGTATTGTTAAAGACATCAGGTAAGAGGTGAATGTCATCTTTATCAGGGCTCGACAATAAGGACTGCCCGATGGCCCGGGGCCAGAGTGCGAGACACTCGGGCCAGTGTACAGAATGTTACTGGCCCGATCGGGCCAGTGCTGCCTTTTTGCCAGCCAGATCGAGCCAGAGCTGCGTGCTGCGACTGTCTGTCAATTGTGTGCAAATACAATCTTACGGTGCTTTCACACATAGATGTTTGTTTCGGAATCGGTCTCGTTTCACCCCTTAGCGCGTTTTTTTTGGCATATATCCAGCAGTTGCGCTCGCTTCCGCGCCAAATCAATCAGTCCAAGATCGCCTGAATGAGACGCGGTCTCTGTCCTATTGAGCTGATTGATTGTAGCGAGAAAACAAAACAATGCAACGAACTAACGACCCAGGCTATATCACAGTGTATTATGATTGTGTATTAGCCATATATACGGCTATATGAAGAGAGAATGATGAGCTGGGCGAGATGTCATTCTTACCGGTAAATGCGAAAGTGAAAGCATGCTGAAATAATACCGAGAGCTGTTTATCCAGCCTGATCTCGGTTTATCCGTCAGGAAAATTGACCGAAATTACTATCTGTTAATTTTTCAATATTTTAATCGTATAATATGTTGTATTAGGCCTGTTGTTTTGTTCATGACAGCTCGAAAGAAAGACAGCTGTTTTGACAGCTCGAAAGAAAGATTTACATTGATCTGATGCAGTCTCGGTTCATCTGCTATGTCTCTCTATAATTTAAGCCTAAAATACAGAATTATAGTCAACGTTTCTTTAATAGATTGATTAATTCAATAGATCTATTTCTACAAAACCTGACAATTGAAATGAGGCTCTGTATATATGAGAAAGTCTGACCTCGATTTGTATTCGGTGACGATGTCTGTGGGTTGTTAAAATTTTAGTGCACATTTTCACTTATAAAATATTCTATACACAACTGGTCAAAAGTTTGGGGTCAGTGTGATTAAATATGTTAAAACAAGCTTCTTCTGCTCACCAAGGCTGCAATTATTTTATCATAAATACAAATTGTGAAATGTTGCACTATAAAATAACTGTTCAAAAGTAGTTTATCATATAATTTATTCATTTATTCCAGTGATTTTAAAGAAGAAATTTCAGCTTCATTACTCCAGTCACATGATCCTTCAGAAATCACTAATATTAATTATTATTATATTTATTAGTGGTAATAGTTATAAAATCAATAATGTCTGGAGTAATGATTTTATTTGAAACTACATACAATAACAAAGCAGTTATTTAAAATGTTGATAAATATTTAACAAGTAAACCTTTTTTTACATTTATAAATACAGCCTTGATGAACTGAATAATTTTCCTTAAAAAACATTTTAAAAATTACCGTAAATATATATACAGATTTATTAGCCCCCTTTTGTTTTTTGTTTTTAAAATATTTCCTAAATGATGTTTAACAGAGCAAAGAAATGTTGATAGTTTGTCTGATAATATTTTTTCCTCTGAACAAAATCTTATTTGTTTTATTTTGGCTAGAATAAAAGCAGTTTTTAACCATTTTAAGGTAAAATTTATTAGCCTCTTAAGCTAATTGTTTTTCAGACTGTCTACAGAACAAACCATCATTATACAATAACTTGCCTAACTACCCTAACCTGCCTAGTTAACCTAATTACCCTAGTTAAGCCTTTAAATGTCACTTTAAGCTGTATAGAAGTGTATTGAAGAATATCTAGTAAAATATTATTTACAGTCATCATGACAAAGATAAAATAAATCAGTTATTAGAGATGAGTTATTAAAACTATTATGTTTAGAAATGTGCTGAGAAAATCTGTTCTCTGTTAAATAGAAATTGGGGAAAAAAATAAACAGGGGTGCTAATAATTTAGGGGGACTAATAACTCTGAAATCAACTGTGTGTGTGTGTGTGTGTGTGTGTGTGTGTGTGTGTGTATATATACACACACACACACACACACACACACACACATTCAAATAGCAATTAACTTCTTTTTTTTTTTGGTGGGGCCAGTGAAGATTTGGGCAGGGCAAGTAAAAAATCAGAACCACTGGCCCGATCGGGCCAGTAGAAAAAATCCTTAGCGTTGAACCCTGTTTATATTTATTTTATTCAGAATAGGGCTTTAATGTTTTTTCATATTCGTTGGAAGCCAAAATCGAAATCAAAACTGGATTTTCGATTAATTACACAGCCCTACTAGACACACACTGTAGCAGACGCCGGTTGAATGAAGTCACTCTGTGCTCAGCTGGATATTATTGAAAGTAAGGGTAAGTTAGTGTTATTTTCTCTACCCAAAGATGAAACTGTAAAAAACTGTAAAAAAATAGTGGAAGGCCTTTATGTTCATGCAACAAAATGTCAACTTCCATTAATCAAAACTTTTTGCTTTGATCTGGTACACTAATGCTGCACAATATATCGTTTCAGCATCATTCGCAATGGTCACATCGTGAGTACACGGAATGTTGGGTCTGGATTATAATTTATCTTTTTTTTTTTTTTTTTAGGCATGTGACTGTGTGTGGGGTTTAAAACAGTTCAGGCATAACTAGGGCTGGGCGATTTGGCAAAAAAAAAAAAAAGGTTTTTTATAAAGTTTGACCGATTCACGATTTAGATTTCTTATCTTTTTTTTTTATTGTGTTACTAGTCTTCTCAAAACATTACAACAACATGACTGAAGTAACATTCTCTTTAAAAGTAACTTGAAAAACCATCTGGTTAAGGAACATTGTATTTTTAATGGCCATGTCATACAAAAATTGGTCACGGTGTAAATAAATATAAAACAAATTCACGAGTTAATTAGCGTTGCTGAAGATTTGAATAAGAAATATTTGTGTAAATATTGCACTTGCACGAATACAGAGGTATTTTTTGCAAGTTTTGCTGAGCCTAGGAAAGATTGGCTGTCAGCTCGGCTTTGACTTTGTCTTCTTCTGATTGAATGACAGGTTGTAAAGCTGCTGCCTTTTCCTTAAAAAGATACAGTGGAAGAAAAGGACTGAACATGGAAACTGTAAAGCCTAATTTAACCCAATGTGTTAAGTTGTGAACGTATAGCAGGAGCAAATACAAGCACCAGATGTGTGTCTAATATAAACTTATATATTTAATCTATTTTTCTTTTCCCCCCTTTTAAATACCGATCATTTGATGCGCTTTGCACCACTCTCTGCATTATGCTGCCTGATCTGTCTGGTTTTCAACTAGGTCCGCTAAATGACGTCTTGGGGCGGGTACTTTCATTTTCACTGCTACTGACCCTCACCTCTGCTCGTGTTCAAACCAAAAGATCGGCGCGGTTTTTCACATGGCAGGCTTTTACGTCCTTCATACATGTTGAGATCGAGTTTATCGACTTGATAAGGGAATGTCTTGACAATCCACACAGACGTGACTCAGACTAATGCAACAAGTAAAATCCTACATGACTTCACGCTTTAACAGGCAGTCAAGCAGGTCGCACACCAGAAGCGCCGCAACACGGCGTGCACATGACAGTTTAAACTATCACACACCAAATGTGCATATTCGCATGATATTTAACATGAAACTAATCAGATGGCACTCTGTGGCGCGGCTGAAATATGAACTGCTTCGTGAATCGTGGCTGGGCGGCGCTGGTGTGTGTATAGAAACCTGTTTAGAATTCTAAAATCCATGGCGCTGCGGTGCTGCGCGTCGCGTCGCTAAAAAGCGCTTCTGGTGTGCTTCCTGCTTCATAGAGTGAACCAAAGCGCATTGGTGCCATTATAATGTATTAAATATACATATATTTTTAAAAATCGCGATTTCTTGATTTGATTCAAAATTTAATAGTCTTAAAACATACATTTAAATTAATCGAAAAAAATCTGAAAAGTCGCCCAGCCTTAGGCATAACAAATTGAACCATTTGTAACTTTTTTACCGTTGAAAAGGAATCTTACTGAATTATTTAAAAAAACGTAGACTATGTAGTATTACTATACATTACATTATTCAATTACTGTATACCTGAATACTCCTTGGAAATCAATTCAATGCTGTTTATTTAATTTGTATCTTGTGGATTGTTTATTTATAAATTCTTCCCAAATAGTTATTCAACTCATCTGGTGGAATTGTAATAATATTGCAATATATAATCGTTGAATCAAAAAAATTATAATAATAAAATAAAAAATACTGCAATGTCCGATTTTACAACATTGTGTAGTCCTAATAAAATCATCCATCCTTATACGTTCACATCAAGCTGACTTTAAAGCGTCTAACTTCCTTCTGAAATTTTAAATTCTAGTTATGAACAGCAAAGTTCTGTATTCTGTAAAACTGCTTAGTAGCTCATTCAAAGGCTTCTGAATCTTTGTCCTTTACTTGTGCATGTTAAAATCAAATAATTCGGCAATAATAGAAAGTATTGAAACAGAATATAACCAAATGTCCGAAACTTAGAAAAAATTCTATCACACACACTTTTACTGTTCAAATAATCAAACTGTTAACTTTGTTTATTACATGCAAAACTTATAATAGCTAGCTTTCGGAAAAATACAGAAAGCCCGCATTTTGGACAATGGTTGCTGGGATTGTCTTATTATTTGGCTTAAGAACAAATCAAGAAAAAAACTTAAAATTTTTTCAAAATCTGGAATCCTGTTGTAGGATTCCTGAAAAAGCTGATAAAAAAATCTTTTCTCTGTATAACTTGTATCATCCGCTATTGATAAAACGTGGTTGTTATTTTATGATGTACCTTAATATTGTATGTGTAAGTACATGCATTTACTTATGTATAAGTATGTGTGTGTGTGTGTGTGTGTGTGTGTGTGTGTGTGTGTCTATATATATATATATATATATATATATATATATATATATATATATATATATATATTTTTTTTTTTTTTTTTTTTTACTATTTATTATTATTATGTATGTTTGGTTTTGATTTATGTTGTACATGTTAAAAGCTACTAAAGTCATTAAAGACTTTTTTTATCTACAATAATATGAAGTGAAGACGTTAGCTGAATGCTATTAAAATCCATAGATATCACTGTCAGTTCATAAGGCTATTATCACTATCTATGACAAGCAGATGTAATATGACTGGTTTTTCTGTTTGTTCACATGACAAATGAACTCAACTGTAAATATAAAAAAGGGGTACAAACCTGCTGACAGATGTTTTTGTACTGATACAGTCCCTCCTTTGCCAAGTGACTCTTGCGGAGATCCACACAGAGCTCCAGGTACTTGAGCATGATGGGCTCGTGGATCTTTTGCCATGTTCGATGCTTTTTGCTCTTGATGACATCGTAGAGCACATCTAAAGCTGGCTGCTTTTTACCAACTTCGAGAAACTCTGAGAAAGAGAAACAAAAAGATGGTCACAACCTGAAGAAATTTGCTCACTTTTGACATGAACAATGAAAATGTGGTTACTTGTTAAAAACATACTTTCACCTAACCTTTGCTTTATTTAGAGCAATTCTATTATTTGTTTGAAGATGAAAATCCTGAAATTCTATTTTAAAAGATGGCACTAGATTTATTTGTTTTTTTTAAAGAGACAATTGTGCATACAGTGCTCAGCATATACAAGTACTTCCCTCACAAATCTATCTTTTAAGTTCATATTTTTAAAAGGAAGCTATGCAATATTATATTTGTGCATACATACATTAGGTTAGTCAATACTAAAGCCAAATCTGGAGCTTATCTAACAAAAACACTCATGATAACAGTCCAAACAATAGTACATCCAAATTTATAAGTTATTGAAAAATGTTAAATACAAATTTTAAAAAGAGGAAGGATAAAGAGAAGCAAAAAAAAAAATGAAAATGTTAGTTGAAATTTTGTAGGTTGTAATTTTTTTATTTTGCAATATTTAGCTTGAATTTAATTGTATTATCTTTTAATTTTGAAATATGTTTGGTGACTAAAATATTATTTTAGTAAATATATGTTTAATAAATCTGTTTTGTTTAAATGCACCAAAATAAATTGTCTATATTCACTGACAATTGGATAAAAATATTCATTTTCAAAATGTGGTGTACTCAATTATGCTGAGCACAGTATTTATTGTGAATGCACTTTGAATTATAGATGTCTCTCTGAAAACATTATGTGTGTCAGTAGTACAAATGTAAGCACTTTCAGTATAATTTACAACAAAAGTTTTCATATTCAGTATGTTTTTAATACTTGGCAATTTCTTCACGTACAAGTGCAAACTTATGAGTAAGAAAAAACAAAAATATGAATAAAATTACTTTAATAATCAATCCTTCATCATTCTTTGTATACATTACTCTTATCATCTGGCTCCTGATTAGTTTGGTTTTTGTACGTCTTTTGTTAACCCTGTTACTATGGTTTTAAAACTATGCATATTATTAGGCATGAATAAAAAAGGAATAAGGTCAAACGTTGTTAAACCTAATCGCAGGTGCACAATGGTGCCACTCCGCTCACATTTTTGTTCATTTAACAGCGAATTTTCTTATCATTTATAAATTAGCAGACGAGTCTTTTCATTTTCGTCGCATATCGTCAGCAAATCCTCAACCCAAGTTACATAAACTACAAACGTTAACTTAGTTGTCACCGCTAAGCTAACGTTGGAATAGCTTGCTAACACGCACGCCAACAACAAAAACGGTTTCTTGTTTACTTTTTAGCCAATATGCCTATATTTCTAATCTATATCTTCTCTTTAAGTTCATTATGAAAAAGTAGAGGAGACACGGTAACACATTACATTTAACGCTCTTCTTCATACATGACACACAGGCCCAGTAACTTAACTGTGACATCCGGCCTGCACGAGCCCGATGGAAATATGGCTTCTCTAGCACGCGCCATATCGAGCTAACGGCTAAATGCACGACTGCAGTCTACAGACCACCGGGAACAATATTCACTCACCGTTCGCTCGTTTGAGAGCGTTCTCCGGTCGCTGGAAATAGGCTGGCATGGTTGTGGCTCGCTAGCAGGCAGTTTTTAGGTAGTCGAGGCTGTTTTATTGACTCTGCCTGTCCATCCGCGCTGTGACTTACCGCTGCGCTAGCGAGAAAGGACTCGCGCACGTGAACTGCGCCAGCGAGGAGGACAAGAGTTCCCGTATGTGCGCGTTTCTGCACACGCGCAGCTCCAGTATTTTTTTTTTTTTTTTTAAATATTTACCAATATAGTACAAGAGAATACTTCTCACAACAATTATGAACAAAATAATAATAAAATAAGATGAGAGAAATATCTCAGTTATACAAAGTATAAACATATGCCAGGGGATTTTTTTAAACTGTAAATTATGCAAAAATTATATGGGACCTTGTTCTAAACCAACGGGAATATTGGGTGGACATTTAAATATCCGTATAGTTTCGAAAAGTAATCAACTGGAACATTTATTGTCTGCTTCAAATTTGGACTTCCTTGGTAGGAAACATGGCTAACTAAATCCTCCCCAACCGCTGCTTTAAGTATTTCTGGATATAATCTGTTTAGAAGGGATAGAAATATAGGCAGGGGGAGGTGTGTTGGTCTATGTTAAAGAGTCACTTAGCCTAAATGTTGTCAAATGAAACAGACCTGGAATGACCTGGAATGCATCTCTAGAAATGTCGTTTAATGTAATTTGTTTGTATAGGCCAGGCCACCATCTGCTGATATTAGTTTTTATGAAAAATTTAACAAAATGTTAAAGGAATGTGATCAGACAAAAGAAATGCTAATCATGGGGGATTTTAATATAAACTGGGAGAATAAAACAGATAGGAAAAAGCTCAAAGAAATTGTATGTTTAATTATATCCAATTAGTCCCAATAAGGCCCAACAAGAGTAACTAGTTCCTCACAGATGCAAATAGATTTGGTGTTTACAAATAAACCAGAAAGAATAACAAAAACATATAATCTTTTGACGGGTATATCAGATCATAATATTACATTAATATTACGAAAACTACAAAAAAAAAAAAAACGCTTTGATAGTAGAGCACAGCAAAAAAATTATTCATGAGAGCTATCCAAAAAATGAAATGAAAAACTTTGAAAACCCTCTACAGCAGATTGATTGGTCAAATCTACTGAGTAGTCAAGATATTAACAGCAGTGATATGTTTCTTAAAATTATTTATAAAATAATATCTTCTTTTAATAGAAAAGGTAAAAGTAAAACTAGACAAAAAAAATGACACTACCCTGGCTTAATCAAGCCCTGTGGCAACAAATGAAAGAGCGTGACCTTGCATTGAAAACGGCACTTAATTCAGGACTTTGCAATGATAGGCACATTTTTACATCTCTAAGAAATAAAGTGGTAAAAAATATGAGGAAGGCTAGGGCGGAGTTTTTTATTAGAATAATAGATAATGCTAGAGGTAATGGAAAAATGATTTGGAAAAATATTAATACACTGACTGGAAAAAAAACTGACCATAGACTAAGTGAATTATGACTAAAAATAAATGGAAATCTCATTCATGATCAGGAAAGACTTGCAAATATTTTTAATGATTATTTTATTAATTCTGTTGAGGAACTATAGCTAAAAACTTTTCATTTAAATGTACGACACGTAGTCCAATAAATCATAATAAACCAATATTTAAAATAGATGATATATCTGATTCTGAGGTTTTAAACATTATAGACTCAATGAGAACTTCAAAAGCAAAAGACACTTATGGATTAGATTCTGTGTTTTAAAAACATACAAGGATATACTAGCTGGCCCTATCACTCATCTTTTAAATCTTTCAATTACACAAGGTATACCCAGATCCTTGGAAATTATAGCCATAGTGACACCGATTTTTAAAGCCACACAGCAAATAATTGCTTACTTGAATGCCGGACATACCCCTTTACATCCAATGCAGTTTGGCAGTTTGGATTTAGAAATAATCATTAAACCGAATCTGCTAATTGTTTTCTTTTAGAGAATATGAAATCCAAACTTGACAGAGGTGGAGTAATAAGAGCAGTTTTTTTTTTTAGATTTAAAAAGGGCATTTGACACAGTAAATCATGAGGTACTCCTTTCAAAGCTCACTCTTTTTACTTTTATCAGAGGCGATTATGTGGATAACTTCATATCTAACAAATAGGAAACAATGTGTGCGCCTTGGTAATAGTCAATCAGTATACAGAATCAGTAATTGTGGAGTTCCTCAAGGATCCATCTTGGGCCCTATCCTGATTAGTCTGTATATAAATGATCTCCCACAAGTCTGTCCTAATATTAATATTGAGATGTATGCTGATGACACATTTCTATATGTGCACGCGAAAAACAAACAACTGGCAGCAAATTATTTAACCGAGGCATTAGTTCATGTATCTGATTGGTTGTGTGAATCACATCTTAAATTAAATACAAGTAAAACGGTTTGTATGTTTTTCAATATTTGACAGTTACCCATCATCCTGATGTATTTGTTAAAGGAGAAAAGCTCAGGGTTGTCTCTGATTTTAAATATTTAGGTCTAATTTTAGATTCTCAATTAACAATTAAATTAGCCCTTGTGGCTAACTCTGGCTTATTAACCGTTTTACTGTTGATTAACAAGCATTGTCCCTGTTAAATAAAATAAATAAATGAATAAATAAATAGGTAAGAAAATAATAATAATAATAATAATAATTATTATTATTATAATAGCTGCAAGCAAAAATTAACGGGGTTCAAGCATTTTAGCAGCATAAGGTATTTTAGCAATTAGTCTGTGAGTAGTTTACTCGACAATAAAATAAATTATTAGAGTATTAGAGTTTATAGAGTGAGCTAACAAATGTTTGATTACACACTCCAAAAAAGCAACTTCAGTTTTTTACATACTGACATTTTTAATGAACATTTTGAGTGACATTTTTTATGTCAAAGTATTCAATATAAGCAGCCCTATGACAAAATGAGTAGATCAAGTCATGGCACCTTAGACAAACAAACTGCATGTCAAATTTTTATCAGATAAATGGTTACTCAGATAAAAGGATTTTACAATGTATAGGGCCACCATGAGGCCAATGTCTACAAATGCTATGACCTTAGATTGACCTCTTGCATATGAGTAACAAGTTTGGTGAATATATTTTAATTCATCCATGAGTTATGGTTATTTTAGCCCTTCACAATAAAAATGACAAAACAGCAGTGAAATAAGCTATTAGTGATTTCCTACTGCCATCTAGTGGCCAGTGTAATTAATTTATGTGATTACAGCAATTTTAGTGTGCATAAAGGAATCCCTTTTATGAATGAACATGTTATTAAAATAAAAATTTTGTATTATATTAAAATAAATAATTATCTACAGAGTAAAAAGTTTGACAAGCTTTGACTTAATTTGATCTTGAATGCATTACTACATTAACCGTGTTCATGCCATGTCAATTTGGGATTCAGAAGGCATTACATTACATTACATTCTTTGCTTCAGAGCAGTAAAATAAACAATAAGTGGTCTGTTACTGCCATCTAGTGGCCAGAGTTGTAATTTTTAAATATATGTTTTAAAACAAGGGCCCTGGTTTTTTAAAGGTGTAATCCGTAATGCTATTTTTGCGATCCGTTATCACGTAATCCAGCTTACTTTTTGAGCCAGTTATTCAAAGCAACATCGGATTGGATCAATCTGATCCGGATAGGAACTTTTCAGAATAACTATATCTGGATAACCAGTGCTCAAACAGGATGGGAAATCACAATATAGAACTATAGATATGTAAAGAGCAACAAGTAGGATAGCCCGTGTGGGGTCAATATAACTTTATTTTTCTTTGAAATGAGAACACACACATTTAAAAAAAAATACTAAAAACAAGATAAACCCCACCCCATCATCTTCCAGCAGTCCGCTCCCAATAGCCTTTAGGAGCGCATCTTAAGTCTGGCCTTGGTTTGCTGCAGTTTGTTCAGAGTCAACTGTTTCTCTGCCAGATGAAGCTGTGCTTCTGCCCTTTCAGTCTCTTTTTGCAATTGTTGAAAGTGATTAAAAAAATCATTCATTGCCATTCTTTGCATTTTTTTTTGTTTATTTTGTAGTCATTGCATGCATCACTAATAAATATTGTGTAAAAAAAAAAAAAAAAAAAATATATATATATATATATATATATATATATATATATATATATATATATATATATATATATATATATATATCAATTAGTGACAGAATAAAACTTGTTGTCTTTGGTCAATTTTGACAGCTGTTTGGGGGATTATTTTATAAGGCCAAACTCTTTCTACTTTGCTTTAGGCCTATACTGAAAGGCTGAATACGTTAAAGCCTACCTAATCACTGTAGCCTGACAGTTAAACAAATACAATTAAAACCTCAAGAAATAGGGTAACTTGTAAGATACTGCATGATCCAAATATAGTAATATTTGATACTTTTTAAAAATTTCATTACATTTTGGGCATGAAATCCACACTGAATTCATCCTTCTGATGGGATCAGTTTAATCCAGATTTTTTAGTAATCTAAATCTTACAAAAAAAGTCTGAAAAACCCAAACTAAAGATTTGATCTGGATCAAAACCAATACATGATCTAACCTGATTATGTAATCCATTTTTTTCTTTTGAAAAACCCATTTTCAAGATTTGATCCAATCCCTTATCCAAAATCCTAGTGAATTACTTTTGAAAAACCGGGCCCAGTGTTTAACTATAGAACCAGTTTTTTAGTATTAGAATTATTATGAAGAGTTAAACTGGGACTAAATTAGATTTTTAATGAATAACAGTGTTCGCATCATGTCAACATGTGACTCAGAATGATCCTAAATGCAATTTCCATACTTTAACCTCTAAAAATGTAAAAAAAAAAAAAAAAAAAAAAAAGGTATGCAAATGTTATGGACAAATAAGTGGTCTTGTGCTGACATCTAGTGGTTAAATATAGTAGGTGACAATTAAAAGTCTGTTTAAGTGGCTAAAACTATAAAACATTAAAAATATGTGTTTTTGAGACCTTTAAAACATCAAAGATGGACAATTTCAGTGATAAGCTTGGACTAACTTGTAAAAGTGTGTAAATGAAGCACATTTA